TTAGGGTGTGTCTGAAATTACCACGACATTCGACTGTCAAGCAAAGGTTATCTTTATCGTTTTCCTATCAATCATCAAGATCTTTAGGTTTATATTAAATTCTATTACTTTCCATTATTACTATTATTCGTTTAGATAAAATCATTTATTTCTTCCTACTCTTAAATTTTTAACTTAATTCTTTTTTTTCCAATTGAATAATAATTTCACGCAGGAACGTTGATAAATTTTATTATAAGAAATTTAGAATTAGAAGTATAATGTCTGGTTCTATCTAATATTAAAGATTTACACGTTATATGAGCATTTTTAATATGCCAATACCTAAGAGATTTGAAAAAATAATAACAATATATCGCTTATAACATAAATCACGACGTGTACGTGATAATTAAATTAACATCTTAAAATTTATTGTTTATAAGTGTAGTGTAGGTTACGCAGTGAAATTCTTTATGTAGATAAATTGTCTTATTTGAAAAATAACTTGAATGTATTTACATTTATTCCTTTTATGAAGTATGTTTTTGTTACTAATAAACATTACTTTTGAATAATAAGTCACTCTGGGATTTTACAAATGTTCAAAATAAGAAAAATTACAATTGAAACAATCAAAAAGACTTCTTGGAACATCTACGAATTTGTTTGGTATAATAATTTTTGCTACGAGCATCTCTCTTATTGTATTATTGCGTTGTACACGATTCTTCTCCTTACGTTTTCGATTAATTTTTCCAGTTATAATAAGAAAATAAAATAATATACAACCCAGGACAGTGTATTTATTTCAACTGCAGACATAAAATCCGTAAAGAATAGTCAAAACTTTAAGGTTATGTCATATTTAACATTTGTTATATTATATCTAAGAACAATATATTTTGGATAGAAAATGTGTTCGATTTGTTTATATAAACCGCGATAAATATATAAATTCAATTGTTACCGACGTTAATGTAATTAATATATTCCAATACTGTACATACTTTCTACTGATATTATTTATTATTATTTTTTAATTCTCGGAAATTATGTGCCAGTGCTAGTTATTAAAATCTTATTCTTGAACAAAACAATAAATTAATAAAAATAATTCGAATTAAAGTAAATATTTTAATGGTTATATACGTTTAAAAAATTTATATATTTNTCTTTAGGTTTATATTAAATTCTATTACTTTCCATTATTACTATTATTCGTTTAGATAAAATCATTTATTTCTTCCTACTCTTAAATTTTTAACTTAATTCTTTTTTTTCCAATTGAATAATAATTTCACGCAGGAACGTTGATAAATTTTATTATAAGAAATTTAGAATTAGAAGTATAATGTCTGGTTCTATCTAATATTAAAGATTTACACGTTATATGAGCATTTTTAATATGCCAATACCTAAGAGATTTGAAAAAATAATAACAATATATCGCTTATAACATAAATCACGACGTGTACGTGATAATTAAATTAACATCTTAAAATTTATTGTTTATAAGTGTAGTGTAGGTTACGCAGTGAAATTCTTTATGTAGATAAATTGTCTTATTTGAAAAATAACTTGAATGTATTTACATTTATTCCTTTTATGAAGTATGTTTTTGTTACTAATAAACATTACTTTTGAATAATAAGTCACTCTGGGATTTTACAAATGTTCAAAATAAGAAAAATTACAATTGAAACAATCAAAAAGACTTCTTGGAACATCTACGAATTTGTTTGGTATAATAATTTTTGCTACGAGCATCTCTCTTATTGTATTATTGCGTTGTACACGATTCTTCTCCTTACGTTTTCGATTAATTTTTCCAGTTATAATAAGAAAATAAAATAATATACAACCCAGGACAGTGTATTTATTTCAACTGCAGACATAAAATCCGTAAAGAATAGTCAAAACTTTAAGGTTATGTCATATTTAACATTTGTTATATTATATCTAAGAACAATATATTTTGGATAGAAAATGTGTTCGATTTGTTTATATAAACCGCGATAAATATATAAATTCAATTGTTACCGACGTTAATGTAATTAATATATTCCAATACTGTACATACTTTCTACTGATATTATTTATTATTATTTTTTAATTCTCGGAAATTATGTGCCAGTGCTAGTTATTAAAATCTTATTCTTGAACAAAACAATAAATTAATAAAAATAATTCGAATTAAAGTAAATATTTTAATGGTTATATACGTTTAAAAAAATTATATATTTACTGCAATCTAAATCCGAACAAAAATTATATATTATTCATTATATTCTAATAAAATTTAACTAATACTTTTTCTGTATGCTTTTATTACATAAAATTATCATAACTTAAATCTTAAAAGCTTGCGTGATTCAAAAAACAGGACTATCAAACCTTAAAATTACCATAATTATCATTAAAAACATTTTTTTAATTTGATTTTTCTATTAAAATAGCAATACAAGCTGTCATCACGGGGTCATTTTTAAATAGTTATAAAGTTTTTAAACGAAATAACGAATTTTGTGTTTATAAAAAGTCTTATAAATGATTAAAGTCTGAGATTTTTTCGGGGTAATGAAAAAGTCATCGATCAGTTATAACAGCAACACGTGCTATTGATTAATGATAAAATTAACAGATGGCGAAAGAAAGCTTTTAAATAGACTTTGCTTAACAATTATTATCGTTAAATACTTAAGAATTTTATTGATAATATTTATTAAGAACTAAATTATAATTATTTTTACATTAAGTGATGGAGCAAATAATGATAATTAAATCGCTGCTTTCTTCTGTTCATTATTACTTTTTCAAACTTCAAACTATGATAAATATATTTTCTAACAAGTCTTTTATGTTTTGCATTAGAATCTATTCAATAATTCTATTATTAATTGATTATAGTTAGTGATTTTATACATTTTCTATTGCTGTTCTTCCCATACTCACTTCATAAATTGTTAACAATCTAATTTATAAATTATGTTTTAGAAATTTTCTAAAATTTTTGAAATTTATTCTCTGTCTACATTAGAAATAATATAAAAGAGAATATTTTAATGCTAGATTCTTTCGTTTTTTGGTGGATTTAACCCATGTTTGTGCCGTTACGTAAAGAGACAGATATGGTACCATTCCGACGTTTTTCTTTACATAAAAAAACATTCCCCATTGTAAAATCTAACAATTGTCGTATTGGATGTTTACAATAAATCCTACTAAATATATACAGTTTTTCTTAAAGTTATCTCTGGAGTATTTATAAATAATAGTTCCTATGACATTCCTTAGTTGAAGGAAAATCAAAAGTGATGCAAAACCATTTTTATATTTTCTTCCTCTAGGGAGATATATCTATTGCTGCAATTGTACTAAACAAGGAAAATTTTACATGATTTTTCTTATATAAATAAATAATACCGAATAATTTATTTATTATTTAGCTTAAAAAAGAATTAATATAACTTAATAGTAGTAGGAAATATATATGCCTAATTAAACTGGTAAGCGAAGTATTACATAAAATTTAATATAATGGCAGAATTTGGAAGCGTTTTTCCTTGACGATCAGTTTCATAAAATAAACATCGTTTTTAGATTAATATTTTTAAATACTTTACGATCTTCTAAGTAGTTTATCTCTTTAATTTCCCTATAAGATGTAGGCCTACTGTACGTTATTATTTTTGAATTAGAAGGAGAGAAACTGCTTAAAATTCTATTAATTTACCTTTCGAAATGTTCCTTGTTTTCTCGTATCAAGAATGAATTGTTTTTGAATTTTATTTCCAGTTGAAATTGAAAATAAAATCTTCCTTTATATTTTACAGGCAATCCATAATTCTGCTTTTGATAATAAAATTTAGACCTACGACTTATGTTTCGAAGTCAGAGAAATGAAAATCAAAACTAATTCAATTAATATAGTTTTTATGAAGTCGCCATTAAGAAGAGTCGATTAACTAAATAGGATCGATCTAAATTGAACAGATCAATGAATTTCAACAGTAATTTCAAATAAACTTTCGTTTAATTGATGAAAGAATCAATGATTTAATCCCATGTGTACTATTTATCAACAGAAAAAAATCGGAACTAATCTTTCATTATTGGCAAGTTAAAGCAAATTAGAGTATCGTGTTTGCTAAAAAGTACAACTGGGCGTATTTGCTTGAAATATTCAGAAGTATTCAGAGCTTTCAAATTAGCTTTATCTTAATTGGATTCTATGCTTTATTCATTCTTAATTAGAAGTTTCATTAACCTCTTCCTTATACTGCTTTAAATCTTTCTTAATCACTGTTTTAATATTTCCATTTCGCACTACAAAAAGTTTCGTCAATCACACTTTTGCTTGTGCCAAACAAAAACCATTTACATCTTGGTTTGGTTACATTTTTATATTTATTCTAGTTATTCGTATTTTTATCTTTCATCTCAAAATTACTCTTATAACATAAATGATACGACTATCTTAATAACAAGATAGTTAGAATAGACATTGAAAGGTTATCTTAAAGATATTCTATGTCAATCTAAGACTTTTAAATAATCGATATGGATTTTCTTCTTAAGATAATTAATATTTTAAGAATCAAATTTATTTCATAAGAATAATATTTAGCACTCAAACGTTTCTTTATTCGATTAAACTTGTTGAGAAAAATCCTTTCTCTCTTAATATTCTTTACCTCAGAGTATACAAAATAATTAGAAAAGATCTAGGGCTACTATTAATTTCTCTTAATAGAGACTCACTTAGAAGGTTAGTTAATTATTTACCTTAACACGTTACGGCTATTTAAAGGTAATCACCAAGAAAATCAGCAATAGTTATCATTTTCAAACGGACAAAGATAGAAAATCGCAATCAGCCCTTTCTTTTCCTTTGTTTCATTATTTTAAGAAACGAAAAAGAAACATAAAACGCGAATTACATTTAATAAATAGCATGAAGTAGAAAATTGGATTTCCAGATTGGTTAACCGCTTCCAAAATTACATTATCAATCTTACCTCGGTGAAAGGGATGTTGGTCTTTCTGGAGATTTATTTTTGACCTCTGACACCTGAAGTGGTACCTTTAATTCGGAATCGGCCGAATTCTGAACTGCCCAATCAATGATACCATTCACTTGAACTTCTTTATCGTCTTTACTTCTATTCGGATCGGAATCGAAAGTAAGAGGAGTCCCAACCACCAATTGAGCCATAGTCTCGGCTGGAACCGATTTTAAAATTTCGAGTGCTTGAGAATAAGGAGTCTGAGTAAGGTCCACCCCGTTTACTTTTAAAATAAGATCTCCGGGATGCACTAGACCTCCTATCTCAGCTTCTCCTCCCTTAATTAATTCGGAAACTATTAGGGTTCGCGAACCGGGTCCGGGTCGAACTCCGAATCCTAAACCTCCTTGTCTTCTTTTGTACACTTGTACATGGTTCAGTCTGCAACCTTCCATAGCGAACTCTGAACGCGAAAAAGTCTTAACGCCGGAAGAGACATGATCGGTAGGTCACGTGCCCAGTCAATAACCCAATAGGAGGGCGATTAGACTTTTGCCTTTTAACACACATCCGGCTTGTTGCCCTTGTGCGTCTTAATCCTTTATCCTTCCATAATCCTTAATCCTCATCCCATACAGTTCCTTACTTAAGAAATCAATATTAGCTTACTCACAAGTCGATATTTCTATATAATTTTTTATTATAAACGAAGTTTTAAGATCATTTCAAAGTAACAAATATTTTATTGAAAACATTTTTGTAGATTATAATTTCCTGATGAAAAAATAAAACACTTCGTCGTCTTTTATTAACAACTGAGAATAAATTAATAATTAATCAATTAATTGTTGTGATAAATGAAATAAATGATAAAATTCTTAAATAGGATTAAATTATAAAATTTTATAATTATTTTTTCACTAAATTAGAAGAGAAAAATGAAGCTATTAATTTAAGTTTATTTAATTTTTGTAAAGTATTTTATATTGCTTATAAAGATATAATCATATTGATTATGTGATCTTCAGCCTATACAAAACCTATAGCCTATAGACAATATTTAGGCTTATGTACAGTACTTTAAGCAAAATTTTGGATTTATTTTAAGAAAATTCAAACAGTTTGGAGTAAATAAGAATTATATGCTATAAAAAACTTATTTTTGGTTAACCTTTCGAAAATAACTGAGAATTATTGTTAACAGTTTAGGAAGTCTTTTATGAGGAAGATATGTACATACCTTTTACAAACCACTAAATTTAGATATTGTTTCTTCAACATTGATAACGATGGTTAAGGGAATTGAAGAATCAAAGGCGATAACAGTTTATGTGACTCTGGCGACTTACGGAAGAGCTTTTGACTGACTTTGATTCGAACTTTAATTTACGAGACGGAAGTTCAGACGTTTAAACGAATAAAATCTTTAGTTAGTTGAACGAAAACTCTAAGAGTTGAAGTAGAAGACTTTAAGATTATGGTTCCCAAAGTATTTCGTATGCTTTCATATACAAGATAGGATAAGTTTATTCTACAGAAGAAACTACTTAGATGCACTCTCGAATTTTGTTTAATTTAAGGATTCTATATCTATAAATATTGTCATATTTTACTAAATTCGGATTAGTTTATTCATTTATTTTTAAGAGTTTAATTTTATTTTAGTTCAAATATGTTTTTATTGTCTCGATTTTTAACATTTTTAAAATTTATAACGAACAATAATCGTGTTTTAATCATTCCCATTAGAGATATTAAAACTGAGAGAACTCGAGCAAATAAATTATAAATTTTATATAAAGGTCAAATGTAATAAAAAGAATTGTATAATTTTTGTAAGTTTTAAACTATATTAATTATTTTAAATAAATTATTTAAGCTATTTTAATTGCAAATCTTTTCTATTCAACCTGTGCAGGATTTATACAAGTTTCAGCTTAGGGCCTCACATATTTATATGAAGAGGAAAGGCCTGTTATATATTATAGCCACAAAGTCTCAAGTCAAGTCCTGTATTTAACAAGTCCTTAATCCTATATTACTATCAGGAATATTATAAACATTTCATCTGCATATATTTCATATTAAACTGCTAAAAAATTAAAAATTATTTTAAATATTTATTANCGTATTTTGGAAATGTTGAGTCGGATTAGTGTAGAATCGATTAATTTTATGGAAGAAAACCTTTCAATCAGCCGTAGTCCGTAAACTTGACACGTGTCGGGCTGTGATTGGAACGACTTGTAAGAAATCGGATTCCTAATAAATTGGAACGTATCTATATCTTATAGGGGGGGTCGACTGTAACTTTATGATGAGTGCCATAAACTTCTAAGTGAAAGTTTCAAAAAATTTCAATGATCCTTGCTGATTATTGATATTTTATTTTTAATTAAAGTTTATCATATTTAAGTTAGTGTATAATTTGTTTACCTTTAACTATAACTCTGAAGAGCTTAAAACTGTCTAGATGTAAATAATTCTTGCAACTGATTTCAAAAATAGCCTGAACAATCTACTGTTTTTACTAATTCTTGCCCTTAGGGAAATATCTCACTATTATTATTGATAATTTCTGTTGAATATGTCAAAATGGTTAGATCTGGGTAGAGACAAGTCTAAACCAAACCATAGTTTAAGTCTGACTCTTATTTTTAAAATGGCTTATGATATTTTTAAAAATGTTTAAAAAGTTTTTTTGATGGCTATTACTATTGGCTATGGCTATTCAGTTAATATCTTCTAATAGCTAGAAATGTTTAGTTTTCATTCATTTGAATTTCTGCCTTTTTTTCTGTTGTAACTATTTTAGGAAAAATTCATAAATATTAAAATAGGCTATGGCTATTCAGTTAATATCTTCTAATAGCTAGAAATGTTTAGTTTTCATTCATTTGAATTTCAGAAGTTTTTTCTGTTGTAACTATTTAAGTCAAGGATAAAGATAGATAATATGAGAAAAGTTTCAAGATTGAGTAGCATAAGCAGAGCCACGTTGAGTAAATATTAAAATTTCTCATCTTAAATAAAATTCCAGAATGATTTTATTGGATGTAAAATAGATCGACTAACCTCTTAGGTATTGTAGCGTCAATATTATTACTAGAAAGCTTATTTTCTTTTAATATTAAAGGAATTTGTTTTATTTGTTTTGATTTTTATAAATTCGATTTATTTTTACTTCTACAACTTTGTTAAAACTATCGACAAAGCTTCAAGTAAAGTTGATCGAAGCACTTTAAAACACTGCAATTAGATAGTGCACTTTTTAACGATACCGACAGTACGGAGGCGGGAAAAAGACACAAGAAAAACTACGAAAGTTAAACAGAATATGCTAAATTTAATATAAAATAAAATAATATGTTATATCTCACGTATTTAATTAAATAATTACTTATGAAATTAATAAGATTAGTATTTAATTTCATTAAAAAAAATGTACTGTTTAATTTGTCAACTGAAACCACTTTGTGTTTTATGTTAATAAATAAAAGCTTTAAAACAAAAAGCTTCCTTATTAACCGGGTTTGACTCGCACACTCGTGTATTAACAATACATTAAATACAATTAATATTAAATTAATTACAATTAAAAACAATTAAATATATTACATTAATGTGAGAGATGCGTGTGTTGATGTGACGTTAGTTCGATGTGCTTTTATTGTTAATAAGTGAGTAAATTAAATACTTTATTTACTTTATTATTTTAAATTTTCTTTATTAATAATATTTTAATATTTATCTGTAAAATAAAANGAAATTTTCACAAATAGAAAAAAATTAATTAAAGTTTGCTGGAAACTGCATACAACAACAACAAAAAAAATGTTTTGAATTGAGTTAAAAATTAAAAAATGAATTTGTTTTCAGTGATGCAATTGTATAATTTACACGAGTCGTGTTATCTACAATTGGATTTAGAACAATAAAAATTAAAAAATGAATTAGTTTTCAGTGATGCAATTGTATAATTTACACGAGTCGTGTTATCTACAATTGGATTAATTTGATTAAAACTTAACTTTTTGACTCTGTCATTCAATTAATCATTAAATTATATACCACGTCTTTTAAATCCAAACTCATTAAAACTATCCGCGTAAAACTACTGTAAATTGACATATCTAAATAGCCTAAGTTAAAGAGACATTTACAATTTATAATGAAGAGATCTGAACGGATAATGAAGAAAGTAAAGTTTTCATAATTATACAAATTAGAATAGTTTAAATAATATATTGAATTTGTAATTTTTAGTGATCAGAATAGCTGAAAACTAAAAGAAAAAAACTTACCCCATTTTTGTGTTTTCGCTTTTACGGTTCAAAAGGAAAAAAAAATTAAATTATAAAATAAAATTATTTAAGGCTAAAATATTAACTATGGGAGCGGATATCCGTTTAAAAGGGACACCTGGCGTAGAAAGTTTGACCGGATTAAGATATAAGGGCTTGGCTCTTATGAAGGAACAGGAAACAAATTTGTGAAGATATAACGTTTTAAACAAAGATTCTATTCTTTCATAAAGAAGAAAATTTTATTTTATTTCTTAAAATATTTTTTTTAATAGAAAAAAAAATTGTTTTAAATATTTACGAACAATTAATTAATAAAATAAAAATAATTTTTGTTTTTTAATAATGTAAAAGTTATGTTTAATTTGAACGTTTGGCGATGATGATGGTTTTCGACGTGAAAACAGATTCGAAAAAAAAGAAAAACAAAGACAGAATCTAATTTAAAAAATAAATAAATAAACGATTAATTAGTTAATATAATAAAGAAAGAATTTGAGCTTTTTTGAGTAAAAATAATCATAAAAAATTAATTATTTTATAAAAAAAAGAAACATAATAAAATCTTGTGTAAATACGAAAAACTGCCTAATCAAATACAAAAATTACAAGTTAAAAGTACAGCAAATATACAATTAATTATCTAAATATGATTTAATAAGGCTTAAAAAAATATTAAATCATTTGGATAAAATACATTTAATAAAAATTAACAGAGAAAAACATAATTAAATGATGATAATGTTATATTTTTGTAAAAAAAAAAACAAAATATAATTAACGAGCGTTTGATAATATTATAAAAGAGAAAAGAAGTATTCGAAAAATAGAAATAAAGTGAATATTTATACATTTTTAATGATAAAACTGCGTCAGTGAAAGAGTAATATTGTCAATTATTTCACCAAAGTAACTCTTTCCTTTGATGTAGAAATGTTCTTGCAACTCCTAGACACTAACATATAGTGTATCTACCGTCATCATGTTGTGTCTAATTGTTTCAAAACGTAAGAGTTCTCAATCTTGTCAGAGTCGCGCGCAATTGATCGGATGATCACGATCGATCGGTTAAAGTTTCGGTTGTACAAATATTTCTCTAAGTAACATATCGAGCAAAACTCGCTCTATAAAGTCTACTTGTTGCAAATTCGGGACAAAAATGCAACTATTTCAGGAATGAAAATTTTCCTCTAACATTTTCATATATCAAAATTATTTTATTTATTTTTTCATTCTTGTTTTTTTTTATTTTGCTGATTTCTTTTTAGGCTTTTACACGCAACCACAAAATAAGATCACGAGGTTATCAAAAACGTGACTGACTCTCTTCCTATTGTGTAACCAACCAAAATAAAAACTTTGCTTATAAAATTTTATTTCGAGAAAGATTTAATATTATAATAATATTCAGTTCTATTAATCTGAACATTTGTAAAATATTCTTTTATATACACACACATACACACACACACACACACACACATATATATATAT